CCAAATATGATGTTTTTAAGACTTGTCTCTGGTTCTGTCTTCCATGCAGCTGCCTGTTAGCACTGTATTTATATATATTTAAGATTTCCATTAGTTTACATTTCTGTGAAGGAAGTCATCTCAAGTCTCTAGACTTTTAGGGAATTGAACCAGCATTATTAAAATTAAATGAGACTTTTCATTCAGGAGTATGCAAAACTGAGATCCAGTGACATTTTGTTCTCATGTCTCTTCCCATTTTTTAATCCACACTAATCTCCTTCATACTCTTTTTTTTTTTTATCAACGTTACTCTTTCAGATGTGGAAGTATTAAAAAAAAAAAAAAGAGGGAGCACCAATCCTTGAAAACCTGATTTGATTTGGATTCAAAATGATTTTAAATGTTTTTCATCTCAGTTTGTTCATAAGGATTTTTTTTTAAAGTGTGGGGGATTTTTGTTTTCAAAGAATTTGGCTGAAAAAAGAACCATCCCTGAATCAATATCCAAAGTACAACCAAATATCCATGGCATGATTTCTTTCTTTGCATTTTTACTTCCGGAATTTTGGTTCTCTTACGAGCCAAGATTATGAGCCCTCAATTGGGTGCTTACAGTAAAGTCTCTCAAGGTTCCAGATATCCTATCCTCTGCCATTTTTGCATGTGGGATGAGGGAGAAGAAGACTGTTAATAATCAGCAGATTATTAAACACAAAATAAGCGGAAGAGCACGTAGGAGTCAAAATCTGGCAGTGCCAACAGACGCCCACTGCAGCATCGCATGGCCTTGACCCTCCCACACTGACCAAGGAGCTGCTGTTTAAGAAGAAAGGTGGAGAAGGCAAGAAACTTATCTCCGGTGACAAATGAATGAAGTCAGGAGCTAGAAGGGACCTCAAAACATGGTCCCTGAAGCTCAGGAAAATCCTCCTCGCCTCAGAATGCATTTGTCATGTCTCCATTAACATGCTCAAGTACCCAGGTGTGTGCCAGCCCTCCAAGGAACCCCATGCACGGCAGACCTGTGCCAGGAGGACTCATAATCTAATAGAATCTGGGGTCGGCAGACACATTTTACACAAATCCATTATGTTGCCGAGAGCCAGCTTGTTTTCTAAATGCATTTTGGTGAAATGCAATGGAATTAACCCAACATTTGTATTTTCAACCTCAAAGTACATTATGAGAATTATAAATTTCCCAGCTGACGCCCGATGAAATGAACAGTGGCCTTATTTACTTTAGGTGGCAAGAAAGAGGGGTGAGTGAGGTTAATTTTTTATAATGCGGGCACCGAGGCGGGTTCTGCCTTATGTCATTCCATACTCCCTATCCCTAGTTAAACTTAATCCTTTTTTTTTCCCTTTTGTCTTTCTGGATTTTCAGTAAACTGAAACTGAAATTATACTGGGGGGGTGGAGGTGGGAGGAGGGGGAAAAAAAGAGAGAGAAAGAAACCCAAGGATATTTTTAAGTCCCCAAGGTGAAGAAATTGAGAGAGTTAAGAGTCCAGAGCATATCTTACACTCAGGGGTACTATCTGGCATTTTTAAGGAGGCAATTAGTTATATGTATGTATTAATATTTTCTCCCCAACCCAAGTGTTACAAAGGTGTGACAGAGAGGTCAGAGTTGCAGTGGGATCTTTCTTAGCCCCCTTCCTAACCCCACCCCCAAAGAAATGATTCTGATTTAAATTGCCGGAAAAGTCCATCTATGGGTCTAGTCAAATTTCAGAGCAGCAAACTTGGCCCATAAGGTATTTTGAAGCCTCCTAGACACTTCTAAGGAAGCCATGGTTTGTGGACAGATGGGGAAGGCTCTGGGAGCTCTGTGTGACACAACCCCAAGCCCACACAACAGTCATGTGGCCGTATCATAGGTCGAAGGAGCCAGAGAGGGAGGGTTGGGTGGATGCGTCAATGAGCTCCACAATACAGATTCAAGGGCTGATCCATCCACATGTTCGTGCTCTGGGAGGGCAATTAACGACGCCTAAAAACTTGCTCTTCTTGGGGCTCTGTGGACTGCTCCAAAGTCAGGGATTTGATTTAATGAGTTTGAACATTGCAGAAGAGAGAAAGAGAGAGAGAGAGAGAGGAGAGAGAGAGAGGAAATAGGAGAGGAGAGTAAGAGAAAAGAGAGGAAAGAGAGAGGAGAAAGGAGAGAGGAGGGGAGAGAGGGGAGAGAGGAGAGAGAGAGAAGAAAGAAAGGAGAGAGAGACAAAGAAAATGAAGAGAAAGGAGAGAGAAAATGAAGAGAAAGGAGAGAGATGAGAGAGGAGAGGGGGAGGAGAGAGAGGAGGAAAGGAAAGAGTAAGAGAGAGACACACACGTTTAGTTTCTGAGTTCTGTCTTCACTTTTTAACTCTAAAAAGGAGAACATTTCAGAGGGATTTTATCTGAGCCCCAAGACCGGTGTGCGGCACCCAAGCACCCCACACTCCATCGAAAGACACATGGGGCCCTCCGAAAGACTAAATGCATGCCCACGGGTCCTCAAACTCTCAAACAAAATTGGAGAGCTCCATTCCTCTCCGAGAGAGGCATGCCTAAAAGGTTATTGATTGGGGTCTGAAGGACACTGTGTTTATTACAGAGGAAGCCAGCACCAGGTACAAGTGTGAGGAATTAATGATGGCTTTGTCAGTGTCCATGCTGGGGTGGGCAGCTATGGGACAACTGTCAATCTATATGGTAATACATTCCCAAACTTCATAAAATCAGTGATGTGAGAAAGCATTGATTTCTCTCAGAGCTCGATAGAACTGGCAGAGAGAGAAAGAGAAGTTTCCTGGCATTAACACCTCAAGTCTGCAGAGGGGCGGGTGGCTCTGGCTTCCAATTTGCTTAAGTAGTTTATGATGTGATGTGTAAAATTTCTTATTTGTATTTCCAGCCCCAAAGGAGAACAGAGCACGCAGGACATACAGCCTTGGAAGATGGTGACTACGGAAAATACCCCGAAGCAGCAGAGGGAACACATTCCCCGTGCACATTTTCAAACGCCATCTATACCTGAAGTGCGAACTCTGACTTCACAGGCACAAAAGAAACACTGCTGAAGAGGTTGGATTTTTTTCCCCCTTTAAACAATATTAACTGCATTCAACTCAACATTAGGACAAAAATGAAGATCCCAGAGGCCAGCTGTAGGGTTACTCCCCACTACAGCATTGTAACTGACTCTCTAAAACAAAACAGTTCCAAGTAAGTTATTTTCAAGGATACTGGGGGAATAAAGAGAGGACCACTTTCCTAACAAAACTATCCTTCTTTATAAAACCCTCCCATTCATCAAACGCAGAGGCCAATCCCGCCATCTTTTTACTGCCTTTGCTTCACTCGTAGCTGAGTTTTTAAGATTGAACCTAGCTTAAGAAATAAGAAGTGTGAATTCTGCTGATAAGTAGAGATAATTCTTTATGGGTGGTTCCCAGGAGACCAGTGAGAATGTAAATCCTGGGAGGCTCTCCAAAGACCTTGTTGAAAATATGCCATGCATTTTTTTTTTTGGATTATGAGTGGTTTTACTTGTTTGGCAATCAAATTCCCTCCCTTTAAATAGTAGTGCACTCTCCCCCCCCCCCCCGCCCCAAATTCAGGAAAATATCGGTAAACGTTGCTTTTATGAAAAATTCTAAAAGTAATTTCCTATCAAATGAGCACTTAAGAGTGTTAAATATGCCAAGTACTAACAATTCTGTTAAAGTCTGAAAGGAGTCAATGTGTATCCCCCCACTAGGGTAGTACGCCACGATTACACAGACCAAGGTCGAAATGAGACACAGCCCCCTATCCCCCAACACAGAGTAAATTATTTCAGAATTAAACAGAAATGTAAATGCAGCCACATGACAACATCTTTTGGAATATGTGTAACTTACCCAGAAAATGTCGTCTTTTGAAAAACAATCTTGAGATTAAATAATATTTAGCTGCACTTCTGCATTCACAACAAGCAATCTGTCTACATTTTTTTCCAAATGCAAGAAAATACTTAAAGCCATTCTAGTTGGGCTTTATAATATTTTACATAAACATTCTCCACTGATCTGTTGTAAATATTTTAATGGTAATGTTCTTAGCAGACGCACAATAAACCCATAACTAACCACAGAGCATTGCATGTTTTCTTCATAAATCAAGACTACCTAATGCAATTTATCTTTTAGAGGAAAAAAATGTTTAACTAACCACAGTTCTTCGTTGCTAAGAAATCCACAAAGAAGCACCTTATCTCTGTAATGACTTGCTTTGGCTTCCCTATATTTACTGCTTAATGATCGGAAGCATTTAATTTTCAAAGTTTCATTAAAACCCCTCTACAAGGCTGATGGATAAGCAGTAGTGATTTCTGATAGAAGCTACTAGAAGCCATTAACCTGCATAGGGTACTGGGGGTGGGGGGGGGTGGGGGTGAGGGGGAAGCAAACACAGGAGAAAATCTTTTTTTTTTTTTTAATCCAAGTCTCTTTTCCTCTTTGTCATTATTAAACTCCAGCGCATCTATTCCAAGTTTGATCTTCGATACGGATATGAGGCATTGCTGCCTGGAAATGAAAGTCTAAGATAAGGTGGGATTCTTAAAGAGAACCTTCATGAAAATAAATAAATAAATAACCTAACTTGCCATTTATTGGGAAGGGGAAATCAATACAAAGGCCTAGAAACTGGAGGAAGAGAGGACATTTTTTAGGTACAGGTCAGAGTTTATCAAGCCGTCTCTTCTGCAATGTAATTTACTTGCTAATAAGACTAAGGGGCTAGACCTGAACCCCATGTTATTGCCGGAACACTGGGTTTTAAAAAATTTTCTCCTTGCTTCTTGGGGCGTGCTTCTTTATTTGTTTGTTTGTTTGTTTGTTTTGTCCCTTCCCTCCCCTGACTCAGAGTAGGCAGGGAGTGAGGTGGATTTTTTTTGAAGGCCCACCAGGGCCCAATTTCCGTGGCCTCCCCTGCAAGCAGCCACAAAAGCAGCCAGAAGAAAAAAAAGAAGGTATGGCAGAAGCCGGCCTACCCGTCTCGTCGTCGGACTTATTCTCGTTGTCGGAGTCAGTCAAGGTCAGGGCCGAGTTCTCCCGGCTGGAAAGGCCCGAGCTGCGTCTGGACTTTAGCCCTCGCCCCCAGAGCCGGATGGCGTGTTCCGGAGACATCCCTCCCTCCGTGTCCGAGTCGGCGTCCGAGCCCGTGCTCAGGGAGTATCCCTGCTGCAGGATCCCCATGTCCGAGCAGTAGCCGCTGCGGTGTGGGGACGGCTCGCAGATGCCCAGCTCAGCGAGGGTGAAGTTGGTTCCTGAGGGGGGGGACAGCCGCAGACAGACCAATTACAATGCGGGAAATGCTTGGCAAAGGTCAGGTGAATCGCAGAAGCCGCACGTCCCTCCCCTTTTCCCCTCCCAAACCTCTGGGGGAAATCTGGGGCTGGAGTCATCATACAGTCATCATACAGTCATCACACAAAATCTAGGTTCGATCCCTGGCACCCCATGAAGTCCTCGGAGCACCAACAGGAGTGATCCCTGAGCACAATAGAGACAGAAATAAGCCCTGAGCAGTGCTGGTGTCCACCCCCACTCCTCCTCCCTTCCAAAACAGACAGACAAAAAAAAAAGACCTACTGTGAGATCTATCACAGTGGGAAGAATCTGAAGGGGACTCTGCCCTCTCCTATTTAGGATCTGGGGTGTAAAAAGTGAGACAAATACAGAAATCAGTAGAGATCAAGAAACAAACACCAGTTTCCACCCAAGGTTAGAAGATGTGATGTGATCAATGATTGGGAATTGGAACATTGTATGACTGAAATCCAATCATGAACAACTTTGTAACTGTGTCTCACAGGGTGAGTCAATAAAAAAAAAAGCACTTAGTGGCCTCAAAATAGCACCATAGAGTTAAAAATCCACCAGGTTGAGAATAAAGGTTAATAGATAGGAAGCACTGATTTTGCTCCAAGCATCCTCAGGTTTGTACCTTTCACTGGTGGTGGTAGATCAAGGACATATCCGGAGGTGCTCAGGGGTTACTCCAGGCTCTGTGCTCTGGAATCATTCCAGGAGGTGCTCAGGGGACCATCTATCATAAAGAAACATTGTTTGCTAACGCTTCACTTGATGAAGATGACACTATCACAGAATCACTTTGTAGACAGAAGGTGAGGAACAGACAGAGGTAACCTACTCTTCTACAAGGGACAGACGCTTGGGTCTGATCCGTGAGCCGCTGCCTCCCTTGTCATAGATCGAAACCCTACAGTGCAAGTGAGCAGAGCAACACACTGGTCCCATCTTCCCACGCAAAACCCTCCTGGGGATGGGGACTCCCTGGGTTTCTTCCACCTTGACTTTCTCATCTCCTCTAATCTATCTTAGGATCATGGTACGTCTGTCCCAGACTGGATGTCTTAACAAGTCTGTGCAGTGTGTTACCCAACTCATCAGAAGAGGAAGATTTGGCTCCTTTATTCTGAAGTGCTGTCACACAATTTCTCTTTGCTTACACAACGAAGATCCATGAGTAGGGGCCTGGCATGGAATGTGAAGATGTGTGTGTGTGCATGGTTGTATGGGGGTGGGCACGAGGCTCAATAGAACAAAGAAGATGCCTTTATTTGACACCAACTTTACTATGTGACAGACACTCAGAGAAACTCTTCACAGAGTCGCTCTCATTAAGTCCTGCCACAGGAGAGGCAGGAAAGATAGTACAGAAGTTACGGCCCCAGCTTTGTATGCAGCTGACCTGGGTTGGATCCCTGGCACTGCATACAGTCCCTCAAGCACCACCAAGAGTGATCCCTGAGCACAGAGTCAGAAGTGGTTCCCAATATCCCCCTCCAAAATAAACAAATACGTTAATTAAAATAAATCTCTCAGGGGGCTGGAGTGATAGCACAGTGGGTAGGGCATTTGCCTTGCACGTGGCCGAGCCGGGTTCAATTCCCAGCATCCCATAGGGTCCCCCAAGCATGGTCAGGAGTAATTCCTGAGTGCATGAACCAGGAGTAACCCCTGTGCATCACTGGGTGTGACCCAAAAAGAAAAAAAAATAAATTAAATAAATCTTTCAGACATACCCCAAGGGTTTAGAAAACTGTCCACCTTAAAGAAATCTTAGGGACTGGAGTGATAGCACAGCGGGTAGGGCTTTTGCCTTGCATGCATCCGACCTGGGTTCAATTCCCAACATCCCATATGGTCCCCAGAGCATAGCCAGGAGTAATTCTTGAGTGCATGAGCCAGAAGTAACCCTTGTGCATTGCTGGGTATGACACAAAATAAGAAAAAAATAAAAACAACTTAAACACTGTGTTGGGCTACACTAGCACATGACAAGGACAAATGGAGATGTTACTGCTGCCCGCTTGAGCAAATCGATGAGTAACAGAATGTCAAGTGACCAAATACCGTGTTTATAATCACACCGTCAGACCGAGTCTGCAGACCTCGAGTCCATATTCATTCTACAGTGCCAAGTGGTCTCCTCAACAAAGCCAGAGCACAGAGCAGTAATAATATTTTTTGTACAGGGAGTGCTCTAAATTATGCCCTTTATGATTTGTCTTTACAAAAGACATCCCTTTTTTTCTTTTTTCTTTCTTTTTTTTTTTTTGGTGGGGGGAGAGGGGCAACACCCAGTGGTGTTCAGGGATTATTCATGGCTCTGTGCTCGGGAATCACTCCTGGCAGTACTGAAGAACCATAGGAGGTGCCCGGGATCGAACCTGTGTCAGCCATGTACAAGGCAAGTGCCTTAATCACTGTAAGACACTATCCCTCCGGCCCCTGCAAAGAACATCTTAAGGATTTTCAGACAAGCCAAATGAAATGGTGTGTGGTCCACCCTAGTCACTGACATAGGAAGTTTATAAACAAAGATATATATTGGTGGACAACTGGGAAAAAATTCAGTGAAGAAAGGGACTTCTCTGGTGTAAGGGAAGAAGACACCCTCACAAATAACCGCCAAATCAAGATTTACCTTTTCTATGAATAATGATTACATTAGGGACTGGACCAATCATTCTTGTTTCCAGATGCATGATAGAACTTAGCACTTTGTGTCAGTCCATTTCCATGGCGTCATTTCTCAGTCTTCATTTCAAAACACACTGAGCAACGATTTAGATTAACCTGTGGTGACTTTCATTGGTAATGGGTATGTGAATGTTTATTCTGAAGGGTTGTGTCTACCTTTTTTCACTGCACACTTTCCTCTACCTTACTGGCTCGTGGGAATGGAATCCCGCCCAGCTCATACGCATATGTCTCTGCAGAGTACACACTGTTCAACCCGAGAAAGACTTAGTGGGCCCTGGGCTGCTTTGCTACAACCAGTGCAGGGAAGGGAACTTCTGTCTACCATCCACATGGTCCTAAAAATTATTTTGTTTCTTCCCTGGGCAGAGTTTATCAGACTGTCTGAAATCCTCTGCCCAGTGAAGTCTATTCCTATTTGCAGCCCTGGGTATCAGGAATTGTCTCACAATCATGTACTTCGTTTTCAGTAACCCATGGAACTAAAACTATTGAGCTTACACACGGACACACACACACACACACACGATATTAAAATACCATCTTTGATTTTTTATGCTGAATTTGAAAAACATCCCCTATGAGGAGTTTCTTCTCTTTATAGGTCACATTTGGTTGAGACAATCATAAATATGTTGCCATTGTTTTGGATAACGAAAACGACCATAACTAAATCCTAAGAAGTCTTTATTCTGCATGCGGGTATTCTGAACTGATGTCATTTACTTCACAGTGTGTCTGCGTGAAGGAAGATTTCCCTGTGGGTTCACCATGTTATTTATCTGGCACTTGCTTCAAATACCAACTTGGGAAGAGAGATAAACAGCTATATGAGGGGAACCAGGCTTTTAGAACATCTCCTTTCAGTCTGGGTGAAAGTTACCAGCTGTAGGTCCAGTGTATGGGAAACAGGTTATAAGCATGACATAGCATTCTCAGTTATCAGACTCAGACCATCATAGGAATTCAACTTTTTTTTTTTTTGCTTTTTTGGGTCACATGTGGTGATGCACAGGGGTTACTCCTGGCTCTGCACTCAGGAATTACCCCTGGCGGTGCTCAGGGGACCATATGGGATGCTGGGAATGGAAGCTGGGTCTGCCACATGCAAGGCAAACGCTCTACCCACTGTGCTATCTCTCTAGCCCCAGAATCCAACTTTTTGATTCTTTGTTTTTAGTTTTGGGGCCACACCCAGCTGTGCTCAGGGCTTATTCCTGGATCTCTCCAGAAACCATATGGGATGCTGGGGATGGAACCTAGGTTGACCACATGCAAGGTAACCTACCCACTGTACTTCTGTTTCAGCCGCAAAGTATCATTTTTAAATTAAGAAAATCTTGAGCTCACCCTGGATCTGCAACTTTGCATGCTTGGCAAGTCACCACACATATGTAGATAAAAGAATTTTAGAAGAGTTTGATAAAAATTCAACACTTTAAACTTCAAAGTTAGAGCCTCCAAGTCACAGATGTCCAACAATGCTATCTGTCGAGAACACTGGGTGGATGTTCACCAAGAAATTTTGAAGGACTATGTTTACAGTAGCTTGAGAAAGGCAAACACTTTCCTCTACAAATGGAATTGTTTACCCCCAATTATTAAACTTCTAAACTCATCACTATCCCATGCCCAATAGGCCACATCTCCCCAAAGGTATTGGTTTTCTACAACTTCTCCCCAAGAATGTGCCCCTGACTTTATGAGCCTAGAACAGAAACTTCCCCAAATTTCCTGGCTTCCTGTTTGGAGTTAATGAGCCACACGTGAAAGGAGAACAATTGGCTTATCATTCATTGAAATGTTCAATCAATATTTATCATTCCTAATGCCATGTGGGGCACTGGGGAATCTCAAAGTGAGTATTTAAATATAGATTCTAAGACACACACTGATCAGGAAAACGACGTTAATCAGAGAGGCACATAAACCAAGTAACTATACTGTATATGGCAATCAATACTTCACAGGAAGAGGACAGGGAACCAGAAAATGTCATCCAGTGGTCCCAACTTTCATCCTTGCTCAGATCTCCACATCATGTTCATTGAGAGGGCCAGGGGGGCTTAGGAATCTGAGTTTAATCCATGGAGAAGCTTTGGTTTATTCTGCCAAATGATTTCCCACACATCCCTCTCTCTACATTTCTTTGAAACATTTTTTCATGTCATTTGTGGCAATAAGATGACCCATATTAAATCCATCTGCTCAAAATGTAAATTATAGAAGGAAATCTTAATACTATGTTAATTTACTT